CCCCTCTCTCTCTCTCTCTTGTTATGGTTACAAGCCCTGACTATTCTTTCAGAGGACCCATGTTCAATTCCCAGCATCCACATGGTAGCTCACAACTGTCTGTGATCCAGCACCCTCACACAGACATACATGCAGGCAAAACATCAGTGCACAGGAAATAAAAATAAACAAACCATTAGGAAAAGATCTCCTACATGCCCTTTTGGACTTCAGAGAATCTTAAAAATATGGACTGCTTCATGAGTTTGGGTGTCATCCTGTGTAGGGGACATGCTCATCTTCTCTGTACCGTTCCAGTTTAATATGTGCACTGCCGATGTGAGCATTTTGCTTGGAATTCTTTTTTTTTATTATTATTTTAAAGATTGTCTCTAAAAGACTTTTAAAGACTGTCTCTATCTTCAGACATACTACCAGAAGAGGACATCAGATCCCATTACAGATGGTTGTGACCCACCATGTGGTTACTGGGAGTTGGACTCAGGACCTCTGGAAGAGCATCCACTGGGCCATTTCTCCAACCCCACTTGGAATTCTTACAGCCTTGAACCCATGAGTGCTCTGAAACTCAGTTCTCTTCAATGGCAACAACAGACATAAAGCTTTTTTTTTGTTTGTTTTTTTTTTGTTTTTTTTTTGTTGTTGTTTTTTTGAGACAGGGTTTCTCTGTGTAGCCCTGGCTGTCCTGGAACTCACTCTGTAGACCAGGCTGGCCTCGAACTCAGAAATCTGCCTGCCTCTGCCTCTCAAGTGCTGGGATTAAAGGTGTGTACCACCACTGCCCAGCGATACCAGGCTCTTTTATAGGCACTCTTGATTCTTTTTAAAAATACAATCTGACCTCTTATCTTTGAAGAACTTAAGACTGTGATTTCCATACTTTCTGTGTCTAAGGTCATTTGTGACCTCTCAAGGGGCTCAGTCCCATTAGGTTTTTCTTTTTTTCTTTTTTTTTCTTTTCTTTCTTTCTTTTTTTTTTTTAGTTTTTTGAGACAGGGTTTCTCTGTGTAGTCCTGGCTGTCCTGGAACTCACTCTGTAGACCAGGCTGTCCTTGAACTCAGAAATCCACCTGCCTCTGCCTCCCAAGTGCTGGGATTAAAGGAGTGTGCCACCACTGCCCAGCCCATCAGGTTTTTCTTGACAGTTTGCAATTGCATCTTTCCCAGGCCTTCTTCAGGAGGAGCCCTTATTTAGAATTTTTATATCCTGTTCCATTTCCCCAGAATTTTCTTTTTGCTTCTAGGACAGCTCCAGGGCTGAGGTGGCAGGTGTGTTAGCTTTTTCCTTTTTATAAATAGACAAAATACAGGGCAAATCTTGATGATGTGTTTGTAGTTCACTATTCCAAGGAAGCCTTGAATTTCTGGTCCCTCCGCCTCAATAGTCAGCTACTCTAGCCCTCTGTTATTTTCCAGGCTAATGAGAAACCCTGTCTCAAAAAAAAAAAAAGGAAAGATAGGCAGTACCTAAGGAGCAACACCTATGTGCACATGTGTGCACAGTCACAAAGGCACACATATATGCACACCAGTAATGAGTAGTACAGATTTAAGATGAATTTTTAAAAACACAACCTTTTTCATGAAAAGATGTGTATGTGCTTACATGTGTGGGAGGCAAGTGTGTATGCAGATGCACATGAACATGTATGTATCTGCCTACAGATGCCAGAGGATGGTATTGGCTGATTTCATTGATCATTCTTCACCATATATATTGGGCCAGGATATCTCACTTGAACCCATAATCCCCAATTTGGCTAATCTACTAGGCAGCTTGATTCTTATAACTGGCTTTTCCCCTTTTCATATTATGAAAGAAAATGGTTTCTATGGAGATGTTTTAGAGCATTGAGGAAAAGGACTTGAGTTAAATAAAGCTCAGTGGTGGAGCACTAGCCTACCACGTACAAGGCTCTAGGTTCAGTGTCTAGCGCTGAAAAACTCCCTCCCTTCTGTAGCAAGGTTTGGATTCTATCACGAGAAGCCCTCAACAAGCAATTTGAGAATAGTTGTCCTTAAATGTTTATATATGTTAGTAATAGTATGTCTTCTGGCATGTTGGATGTACATATCCATGAACCTTTGATAGGGCCACATTTATTTTGTTTATATGTTTTTGTTTTGAGACAGGGTCTGTCACTGGCCTAGAACTCAGCAATTAGGCTAGGCTGTTTAGCCAGTGAGCCCATGTGTCCCCTTGTGTCCACCTCCCCAGTGCTAGGATTACGGACACACACCACCACACCCAGCAGTGATTTGCATAAAGTTTGAGAATCAAACTCAGGTCCTCGTATTTGCCTAGCAAACCCTTTATGATATAAACTATCTCACCAGCCACCTTTCTGGCTTCTTTTTGTTTGTTTGTTGGGTTTTTTTTTTTTTTTGGCGGGGAGGGGGGTTGGTGTTTTGGTTTGGTTTGGTTTTTCAAGATAGGGTTTCTCTGTATAGCCCTGGCTGTCCTGGAACTCACTCTGTAGAGAAGGCTGGCCTCGAACTCAGAAATCCTCCTGCCTCTGCCTCCGCCTCCCAATTGCTGGGATTAAAGGCGTGCTCCACCACTGCCCGGCCAGAGCGTCCCTTCTTAACCTTACCATAGTCCCCATGCTTCATCTCTGTCATGCTTGTTACCTGCTCTGCATGCAGGTATTTGATACTCGTTTTTGTCTGTGTCTATGTATCTATCATGTGCTCACTAAAAGATGTAGAATCGGCCCGGCTGTGGTGGCACGCGCCTTTAATCCCAGCACTTGGTAGGCAGAGACAGGCGGATTTCTGAGTTCGAGGCCAGCCTGGTCTACAGAGTGAGTTCCAGGACAGCCAGAACTACAGAGAAACCCTGTCTTGAAAAAAAAAAACAAAAAACAACAACAACAAAAGATGTAGAATCAATGCCTGATCCAATGAACATCCTTAGTGCCCATGCTGTGATCTAGAGATGCCATTTACCCTTAAAAGAAATGAGTTTCTTAGCGAAATGGTGATTCTAGTACAGGGTGATGATAGAATGTTGTGACACCAGATAACAAGCCACCAGCTGCTACTGAAGTCTTTCCAAAAGGACTCAAGATCCAACCTGAAGAGTCTCCCACTGACCAGAGATAGATTCAGTAGGATAAAAATCACTGGGGCTAGGGGACGGAGAGTGGAGCACAGTTGGTAGAATACTTGACCTGGATTTCATTCCTAATTTTCCACAATACCGTCAGGTATGATGGAGTGTATCTGTAATCCCACGACTAGGGAGGTGGAGGCAAGAGGATCCCGAGTTCCTGGTCATTCTTGGCTGCACAGTGAGTTTGAGGCCAACCTGGGTTATATGAGACCTTGTCTTAAAAAACAAAACAAAGTCCATGAAGATGGCTCAGTAGGTAAAGGAGAACCTGATGCCTGAATTGATGGGTGTCTCCACCCTCTGTCCCCTGTGGTGAGAGGAGAGAACCAACTCCTGGTAGTTGTCCTCTAACCTCCACCTGTGCCTCACACATACACAAGCAAATAAATAAACACCACTAAACCAATACAGTGAATGGCTTTTGCATGACGTCCACAGTTCAGTTCACACACACACACGTCTTAACATACACTCATCAGCAGTGGCAGCGGCAGCAAATGAATATTGCTGTAAGTTTGTGGCCAGCCAGGGCTATAGCAAGACCATCTCAGCCTTGTGTAGTGGCTCACAGCTGTACTTGTAACTCTTGGCAGGAGGATCATGAGTTCAAGGTCATCTTCAATTACATAGTGAGTTAGAGGCCAGCCTGGGCTACATGGAATCTTGTCTCCAAAGAAACAAATTCAAATCTTGTTTGTTTGTTTGTTGTTTGTTGTTTTTGTTTTTTCGAGACAGGGTTTCTCTGTGTAACCCTGGCTGTCCTGGAACTCACTCTGTAGACCAGGCTGGCCTCGAACTCAGAAATCTGCCTGCCTCTGCCTCTCAAGTGCTGGGATTAAAGGCGTGCACCACCACTGCCTGGCTAGAATAAATTTTTTAAAAAGAAAATAATGAAAAGAATTTCAGAGCCAGACATGGTAGCACATGCCTGTTATCTCACCACTTAAGAGGCTGAGGCAGAAGTTTTGACACAAGTTCAAGGCCAGCCTGGGCTACATAAAGAAGCCAGCTGTGGGTATAGAGCTAGTCTAAAAAAGAAAAGAATTTCACTTATGTTTTGCTGTGTAACAAGAGTAGTCCTTACAACTTAAACTTAAGTTTTTGTAAGTAGACTCAATAAATATTCTTCGTGCCGGGTGGTGGTGGCGCACGCCTTTAGTCCCAGCACTTGGGAGGCAGAGGCAGGCGGATTTCTGAGTTCCAGAGTTTAAGGCTAGCCTGGTCTACAGAGTGAGTTCCAGGACAGCCAGGACTACACAGAGAAACCCTGTCTTGAAAAACCAAAAAAAAAAAAAAAGTATATATTCTTCATTTCTTTATCATTTCATGACTGTATCCCCCACAGAACTTATCTTAAAAATAAAATTGTACCTTGAATTGATTCACAATTTATAATGATATGTTTGCTAAGAAAAAAAGCATTTGCTATTCAAATGTTAACAGTAATAGATTGAATTAAATACGTTCCCAAGAACAAGGTCCAAACAGAAACTTAGTTGCTTATTTTCTCCCTCCACCTTATAAGAGGGAGAGTTATGGGCATTTGCTTCTATATCTACTTTATAAAACTCCATTCTTTTAAAAAATTATTATTTAAGACTCTCATGTTAAAATGTATTCTTATTTTATGTATATGGGTGTTTTGCCTTCATGTGTATCTCTCCACCTCGTGCCTGCAGTGCTCATCGAGGCCAGAAAAGGGTATCAGAACTTCTGGAACTAGAGTCATAGACAGGAGTCACCGTGTGAGTTCTGGGAATCGAACCCAGGTCCCTTGGACAAACAGCCAGTGCTGTTATCCCCTGAACCATCTCTTTAGCCCCCGATAGATCTTGTGATAATACAAAATGTTCTGTACCTACCTGGTCAATACAGTAATCAATGCTCACAAATATAGAAGCCACACAATATACACTAATCACAAAACACAACAGTCACAGAGTACAATAGTCATGAGCCACATTTGGCTGTTGAACACTTGCAGAGTGCTAGAGAGGCTGGGCAGGTAGTGCTGGACTTCTTTAATCTCAGCACTCGGGAGGGCAGAGGCAGGCAGATCTCTGTGAGCTTGAGGCCAGCCTAGTCTACAGAAAGAGCGAGAGAGCTAGAGGGTGAGAGAGAAAGAGAGAGAGAGAGAGAGAGAGAGAGAGAGAGAGAGAGAGAGAGAGAGAGAAGAAGGGAGAGAGAGAAGGAGGTGAGGTGCTAGGGAGACTGAAGAACTGAATTTGTACTTGTAGTTTTCACTAATTCAGATAGTGACAGCACGTTTGAGGGGAGAGCGGTGAGTGTCGGCAGAGCAGAGCTGGATGGAGGCAAGCTTAGAGAAGAACCCTGCGATGGAGCAGGTCCTTACCTGTTCTACGGTTTGTTTGTCTCATGACAGTATTGAGCTCTTATGCAGTTAATAGAAAACATATGATATGAAGTTGGAAGGGAGAATTCTGCAGGGGAAATAGACAGGCAGAGATGGACAGGGAGAACAGAAGAGGGCAGAGAGGAAGAGATAGAAATTAGAACAGGGATAGTGACATGTGGAAATGCCATATGACAGATGGGTTTGATGGTGCAGCCTGTACTCCTGGCCCTTGGGGGAGAGGCAGCACCCACTGGTGGCTCACAGTCGTCCACAGTCACAGTTCTGGGGATCTGACACCTTGCTCAGCACCAGGCATACACATGGTACACATGCTCACATGCAAGCAAAACACATGCAAGCAAAACACCCAGACACATAAAATAGTCTTAATAAGAAGGAAAATGCCATAATGAAACCTGTTCTGGATTTTAATAATAATTATAGTTCTGTCTATTCTATAACTGGTTTTATTTTTTATCTTATTTTTTGAGACAGGATTTTACTCTGTAGCCTATGCTGACCTAGAACATATTCTCTAACCTAGTCTGGCTTTGAACTTTCAGTAATCCTCCTGTCTCAGTCTTCCAAGTATTGGGATTAACAGATATGAACCACCATGCCCAGTTCTATCCCAGAAGTTGATTCACGTGAAATAAAAATCTTTTTTTGTGTTAAGCGTCTTCTGAGTTTATCGGTGAGATTCAGTGGTGGCTTTGCAAGCGTTCCTCTTTATTAGGTGTGGTTTTCCATGTGCAGCTACACTACACAGGCTTTCCTCAGCCTCCTTAATGTACTTTGTTTGCATGACACAGTACCCACACAGAGGTCAGAGAACAACTCTCAAGAGTCAGTTCTCTCCTTCTCCCTTGGGGGTTTCAGGTTTTCAGGCTTGGCCACCCTGTGGTAGTATCTTCTGAGAGAAACTTTGAGATTATGCAAGTCTACTTCCTTTCAGAATTTCACCCATTAATATTTTACTTATTTTTTGAGACAGGGTCTTGCTGTATAGTCCAGGATGGACCCCCAAGAGTCTTCTTATCTCAGCCTCTGTAGTGCTGAGAGAGTTGAGGTGTGAGCCACTGTCTGTACCTTCTTTGTCCTTTGTGCTTTTCTTTCATGAGCTGTGGCCCCAATCAGTTAGTTTTAAACAGAGTCCCAAAGTACAGTGATAATGTTTTTTTACCATTTTGTCTCATATTTGCTTTTACGGGGAAATAGGGACGAGGTCTCATGTAACTCTGACTGGCCTGGAACTCAATGTGTAGACGAGGCTGGCCTTAAACTCACAGGATCTGTCTGCCTCCGTCTCCTGAGTGCTGGGATTAAGAGCATGCACCATCATTCCGGCTACTATTTACTTTGAAAGTACTTATTGAACAGTATAAGTAGAGCCAGTGAGATGGCTTGCTGGATCAGGGCGCCTGCTGCCAAGCCCAGGGATACAAGTTTTTGTCTCTGGGGCCCACAGTGAAAAGCCAGAGCCAACTCCTGTCATTGTCTTCTGACTCCCACAGGCACGCCATGGCACATGTCCAGTCTGCCACCGCACATACCAGATAAACAGGATGTAATTTATAGAGTCCTGGTTCTTTCTTTCTACTTTTGGAAGTTACTATGACTTCAGTGCATGTCTCATCTCACCTCATCTTTCTATCTATCCATCCTTCCTCAGTTTTTGAGGTGGGGTTTTTCTGTGTAGCCTGGGCTGTCCTGGAAGTTACTCTGTAGACCAGGCTGCCCTTAAACTCACAGAGACTCACCTGCCTCTGCCTCCTGAGTGCTGGGGTTAAAGGCATATGCACCACAACTGCCCTGCCCAGGATGTATTCTTAATACCTTTTTCAAAACACTTGTATTTTTTTTTCTGGTTTAAGAAAAGACTCATCACCAGGCAGTGGTGGTGCAAGCCTTTACTCCGAGGACTCAGGAGGCAGAGGCAGGCAAGTCTCTGAGTTCAAGGCTAGCCTGCCCTACAAAGAGAGTTCCAAGACGTCAAGAGCTACACAGAGAAGCTCTGTCTCAAAAAACAAAAACAAAACAAAACAAAAAAAAAAACCCACCCCAAAACCATAAGGAAACAGAAAAATTGTAAAGCTATGTGTCGTGGCTTTGTTTTATAAGAAGGATCTTCATGCATAAGCTGATAGCTGTTTTTTTGTCCTGGGTGTCCCTAAATGTCCTGTTTTGGTCTCTCTCCTAGCGGCAGTACATCCCTGTTAAAGTAAAGAGCAAAGCCTTCTGGATCTTCTCTTGGGAGTATGCCATGATGTACACAGGAAGCCTAGTGGTGATAGTTTGCCTCTCCTTCTTCCTTCTCAGCTCCTGGGATTTCATCCCTGCAGTCTACGGTTTCATGTGAGTACAGACCTCTCTAGAAATTTCTGGAATCCAATTTGATTTTCATAGCTCATGGTAGAATCAGAAGGAGAGAACTATGCAGGCAGTGATTATAACAACAGTCCTTATACTTTAGGAGAGCCTCTGACATCCTGAATGCTGGCCTGTCCCTAGAGGTTCTGATTAATAGGTGTGAGATAGCCCAATAGGTAACATATACATATCATAGTGGGGATGGACCCAGGAGTTGGAGAACTCTTGTCTGGGACTCTGGACTGTTTCCCTGTGGTAAATTCTAAGCATAATAACTTGCTCACTTTGAGTTCTTTGTGTTTTGCCTAGGACAGGTATCTGTAATACCTGATGAATAGTTTTTCCTGGCTTTTTCTACTGAGCCAAACATTCTGTTCTTTTTCTTGTTACTCAGAAAGGGAAATGTCATTGTTATAAGACATAGACTTAATCTAGGCAAACCTAGTGTCATACACCTGTAATCCTAGCAGTTGGGAGCTGGAGGTAGGAGGATCAAGATCAAAAAGAAATTGTTGGCTCTATATTAAATTCATTTGCAGCCTGGGCTGTATTCCATGGACCTTATTTCAATGCCCCCCCCCCAACCAGTGACACTATATATATATAATGGTAGGGCAGTAGATAGTACTCTTGTCACTGCCCAGACTAGTGCCCCTTGCTTCCTTCTTTCTTTAAAAGACATATACATGCACAAACACACTTGCACGCTTAGAGAGCTCAGGATGTAGCCCAGTGGTAGAGTGTGTTTAGTATTCATTTTGTTTGGTTTTTTTTTTTTTTTCTTTTTTGTTTTTCGAGACAGGGTTTCTCTGTGTAGCCCTGGCTGTCCTGGAACTCACTCTGTAGACCAGGCTGGCCTTGAACTCAGAAATCCACCTGCCTCTGCCTCCCTAGTGCTGGGATTAAAGGCGTGCGCCACCACCGGCCGGCTGCATTTAGTATTCTAGAAGTCCTGAGTTCCATCCCCAGCACTGGGAAAAAAACCCCCACAAGTGTTTGCTTTGGTGCATATTTGTGTGTGTGTGTGTGTGTGTGTACATTTAGGTAGCATGGACTCTTTTGGAAGAGCCAGTTATTGTAGCCAATTCTTTTATGATTTAGATAGACAAAAGTCTTCCAGATAAACTTTTCAAATGAGTTTTGTGGCCCTGGGGATTTTTGCACTGCCTGCTGACACTGATGGCTCCTGAAGCTCAGGCGTGCAGTTTTCTGGCTTTTGCTACGGGGATGTGGGATGAGAACTGGGAGGAGCAAGCTTACAGAGCTTGTTCCCCTGGGCAGGTCTCTCAAATGCCCAAAATAGATGTTGTTTATTTAAGTCTCCTTCCTCTCACAACACTGGGTAGCTCCTGATTGTAAACTGTACTGGTGTGAAGAAGAGGGGGCTGCTGGGATGCGGTTTCTCAGATGGAGCCCTTTCTCATTCAGATCCTTTCAGCTGGGTTTTGTTTCTTCGGTGTTTCCCTTATGTAGCCCATTCTAACCTTGCACTCAGTATCCACCAAGAACGATCTTAAGTCTTTGACCCTCCTGCTTTTACATTAGGCTTAAATGCAGCTCTGGAGTTTGAACCCAGGGAACTGCGCTTTCTAGGCAAAGCCCTCTGCCACTGAGCTGTATCCAGTCCTTAGCTTGTACATATTACAGCTTCTCTGGATCTTCAGTCCTACCTTTTGTAAATTGTCTGTATGGGGTTATGTGTAGAACTCTTTATGACTTTTAAAGGGATGGTACCATCCTTGGTCACTGAGTACTGGCCCCAAGTCTTGTGGAAAAAGCAGGGCAAAACCAACCATTTGTAACTCTGCTCTTTTCTCTCCCTGTTTTCTTAATTTCAGACTTTCTGTTCCAGATCTCACTCCAAACATCGGTCTTTTCTGGTACTTCTTTGCAGAGATGTTTGAGCACTTCAGCCTCTTTTTTGTCTGTGTGTTTCAGATCAACGTCTTCTTCTACACAGTTCCATTAGCCATCAAATTAAAGTAAGTGTGAAGCCTGCTGTTTATTTGTCACCCTCCACACTGGCCTGCTGGCATCTGGCTTCATTGATCAGGTCAGCAGTTGAGAGTCACACCCAAGTACAAGCTGCAAGGAGGATGCTCTGGGCTCCCCGTGGGCTCACCTGAAGGTGCCTGAGGCCACATTACTACTCACTTTCATCACCATTTCGGGCAAGAACAGAGGTTACACTGCGGATGGCTTTGTGGAAAGTGGGTCTGGTTGGATGTTCTTGGTCAACAGCCCAGTTATGATTTATCTCAAGGACTCTAGTTGGGTTATTTGGAAGGCTGGGCATACACAGCCTTTTCAATCTTCTGGTCAGTTTTCCTGAAATGGGGCTTACTGTGTAGTTCATTTCTACAACAGAGATGTCATATATCTTTGTAGCTCTGCGAAATAGGTTGAGAGCAAACTCAGGAACTTGGAGACCAGCATTATCTCACCATCATCATTCCATTTTATAGTTGAGGACTTCTTGCTCAGAGAGTTACACAGCTTGCAAGCAGTGAAACTGGAATTCAGGCATACTTTGTCTGACTCCAGAACCTGTATTCATCCTCTTGGGTCATGCCAGCTCCTAAGGAGAACACTGCGGTGGTCCTAGAAGTGGTTGCATTACCCTGGCTTCAAAGCCGCTGACAAAGACCTTCATAAGCAGGCAACTAGCTCTTGTGTCCTCTGCTTGTGTGCAGGAGCTGTACCGGGGCATGTAGAGCTGGTGCAGATGTCAGCCCTCTGCTTGCATTGGGGGCTGTTCTGGGGGATGTAGAGCTGGCCTTTCCCTACTCACATCCCTTTAGCTCTTGGTCTGTTCTCTGAGGGCCACTGTAGGGTGAGCCATGTCCCCCATGCTCTCCTCACCTTTGCTGTGAGACATGAAATTCCAAGGAGAGGAGCATGGTGGATTAGGGGCTCTGTAGACAGATAGCGCCATCACTAACTTCACTTCTTTGGGAAGGACGAGGGACAAGAATCTCTGCCTAGAGGGCTAGCCTTGGTGCTGTGAGGATCTTCTGAGATGATGCAGGAGAACCTTTGCACAGAACTCAGCATAGAAAAAGGGTCAGGAGTGAGGAGCCATGGCAGTTTATTAATTTAAGCCAGCTTTAGCTGTTACTAGTTGAAGGTCCCCAAAATTCCATTTCGGAGACAGACATGATAGCTGTCTGTAATTCCAGCACCTAGGAAGTAGAGGCAAGAGGATTGTGAGTTTAAGGCTACCCTCATCTACATAGTGAGTTGGAGGCCAGCCTGTGCTACATGAGACTCTATATTAAGAGAGAAAGTCTGGCCCTTGAAGAGCTAAGAATGCTAAGTGTAACTCTCAGTTTTCTTATTTCTCTGATGGTATTGCCAGTAAGCAAGCCATCAGCCAACAGGCACTTCTTGTCTTTGGACCTGTGGACAGCGACCTTTGCTGATTTCTCTTGACAAGCAGTCATTTAGGCTACTAATAAGGAATGCTAACTTTTTTTTTTTTTCAAGACCATGGGGGCCCAAAGCTAGTTCAGGAAACTACTGATGGGCAATGTCCCTGTAAAGTGACTTACTGGTGTTTGTCTGGTCTTCTTTGCCACCTCTGGGCATTTGGTATCTGCAGTTTTCTGCCCTGCTTCTGGGGCCTGCCTCATCCAGGCCGTGTGAGTAGTAAGGCAGCCTTTGCCTGAAGTTCCTCTAGGGTGTACTTTTGGTTCCTGAGGTAGGATCAGGGGTCTCTAGAGTGGACCTAGTCCCTGGCTAATCTCTCTGCCTGTTTGTCTTATCTGCCCTGCTCCAGGGAGCACCCCATCTTCTTCATGTTCATTCAGATTGCCATCATCTCTATCTTCAAGTCCTATCCAACTGTGGGGGATGTGGCCCTCTACATGGCTTTCTTCCCTGTGTGGAACCATCTCTACAGATGTGAGTATTCTGACTTCCTCACTGGGGATAGATTCAAGTGCAGCTAACTGCTAGGTGAGACAGCTGGGAAAAGCGATTGATATGCATTTACTGGGCACATGCTGTGCTGACAGCACCGAGAAAGAGGAGGCAATCTGAAGTGTGCATGTGCCTCTGTGGCCCCGGTACTGTGACCAGTGATGGACAGACAAAGAACTGTCACTTAGAGCATGTGACTATGTTCCTGATCACTGTTGCTCATTTTGTTGTTGCATCAGCTTTGGAGGTAAGTATCTCCTTTAGACAGATGAGAAAACTGAAGGACAGAAAGATAGAGCCACTTGTTCAAGGTCACGTGGCTGATGAATAGAAAGACTAGGATTGGAGCCTAACTCTGTGGGCCTTGGCCAGTGCAACCCAGCCTTGGTGCTTGTAGTGATGACCTGTCTAATCTGTATTCCAGTAGAGTGGCTACTAATACTATACAGAGACTACATTTTTTCTTTCTTTTCTCCCCTAGTCTCAGCTTATGACATAGGGTTTCATATTGCCCAAACTGGCCTTCAGCTCACCGTGTGCTGAAGATTACCCCGAACTCCTGATCCTTTTGCCTTTACTTCTCAGACCCAGGGTTACTGGTATGTACTGTCATGCACAGATTTTTTTTTTCCATTGGTTTGTTTGTTTGAGACAGAGCCTAAATTGTAGCCAAGGCTATCCTGAAACTCACTATTTAGCCTAGGCTGTCCTAAAATTAGAAGAAGTCATCCTATCTTAACTTCCTGAATACTGAGATTACAAAGAAGAGCCATGGTGTCAGTAGAAACTGAAATTCTCATTTAAAATCAAATATAGGAAGCTACATGTGACCAAGCTTCTTACTGGACAATGGCCAAGCTTCCTACTGAACAAGTGCAACTTGAAGCCTTTGGCCATAAACATCAGACTTCCTGCTTCCTATAAAGACCCCTTTCAGTTCTGCCTGTCTCTCTTGAGGCTCCCTTAGGGTAGATATCCTTTGCCTCTATGTTTCCCACACCCAACATGGATCCTGACACAAAGGAATCAGCAAATGACTGGGCAGTGGTGGCACATACCTTTAATCCCAGCACTTGGGAGGCAGAGGCAGGTGAATCTCTGAGTTTGAGGCCAGCCTGGTCTACAAAGAGAATTCTGGGATAGCCAGGGATATCCTGAGAAACCCTGTCTTAGAAAACAACAACAATCAAAACAGAAAAAAAGAAAAAAAAGAAAAGAATCTGCAAATGTATATAGAAGGCTGTTGGAGCCTCCCTGTGAAGGAAGCAGAGCCAGTTCCCCTCCTGGTTCTCTGTCGGGGAGCTCTGACACACAGCCAAGCATCAGAAGTGAACTCCTAGAGCACGCTTCCCAAGGAGTTAGTTCTTGTTGTTTTGAGTTTGTCTGGGTGTCACCAGGAAGTGAGACTGACCAGCTGCAAGCAGGAAACCTACCTGTGAGTGTAGGCTCCAGAGTGAAGGCACACAGCTCAGGGGGCAGGCCACGCCCAGGCCAGCTGTGTCTCTTGGGCCTGGTTGGAATGGTGACCAATCTGAGCTGACTGAGAGGAGTTAGCATCATCTTCTGCTTGTGACATCCTCATTTCGCAGATAAGAATCACCCAGTGATGACTCATGAGGCAGTCAGAATATATAGACATGCCTTGGTCTGTGGGTGGGTAGAGCTTCAGGCACTGCTCTTTCCCTGTCCGAATCAGGTTGTTTTTGTTAGCTGTCTGTCCTAAAGAGGGCATTGCCCTTTCTCAGAGGCGTTGTGTAGCAATCTCAGGTTGCTGAATTCAGTTTGTAGACAGACTGACCTGAGTCTACAGCCGCCCTCCCCAGGCAGCTGTCTTAGCCTTTCTGAGCCTCTGAGTTTTCCTTTTCCCTCCATGAGATGGAGAGAGTAAGTGGAGCTTCCTGGTATGGATCTATAGCCCCAACACTTAAGAGAGTGAGACAGGATAGCAGGTTTGAGGCTAGCCAGGGCTACAAAAGGGAATCCCAGGCCACATGGGGAGACCTGTCTCAAAAAATAAAAATGTATTTTTCATGGATTTTTTTAAGTTTGAAAAAGAAAGTATGTTAATAGCATACAGTTATCATCAGTAATAATTAACCAGGGGCATCTCCTGCATATTTCCACCATCAAAGCTGCTGGCCTAGCAGCCAGGGACGTTGAAGTAAATATTTTTAAAACTTGAAATAAATGATTTTATGCCCACAGAGATGATGCGGCAGAGAAGGAAATTTCCAGAAACCTGGATGATCTTGTAGGCTCTATTAGGTAGAGGCAGTTATCAACTGGTTGGGCAAGGAGTTTATAGACACAGCATAGCTTAAGTTCCTGCAGAGGGTAGTAGTCAACATGCTTTGTACTGTGTGCACTGTCCAAGGAATACTAATGTCTGGAGCACCTGTTTGGGACTTGTCATCTGTGACTCACTAAGTGACTTTAGCTCTGGCCTTTGGACCCCTGAGTAGGCATTTTGTGAAGTCTTTTGTTCTAGTTGAATATTTTGTTCTAGTTAATATTGTAACTCTATCTCAAAAACAAAAACAAACAAATAAATATATCGCAGTTGTTGGCTTCTGCAGCCTTGAGTCAGGGTTGAGTCAGACAAGACATTCTTATGGTATTAGAGAACAGCCTGCTGGCAGAACTAGTACCAGCCTGAAGTGGTCCAGCTGCAAAGCCAGCTACCACAGGGCTGGAGTTGAACATATGTTATATTTTTTTAATTAATTATTGTGTAAAGGTAAAAGAATATTGATTAAAATACAAATAAATTATAAGCATTATGCTGTAAGTTCCTATGTATATAGCATGTAATTTAAGAAAAGAAACATCTCTTTAACCTTTGAAGCCCCCTAATTCCCTCTATGACCATCCTGATGAGACCAGACACTTTAGGTGACATTTTATTTCTGAATATCTGAGGCTCAAGAGGGAAAGAAGTCCCTTCTCAGAAGTCCCTGTTCTTCAGTGTGATGTGGCAGATTAGATAAGCCACCCAGTGAATGTCTTGGGAACTTGACTCCATTTGACCTAGCAGGTCTGATGAAAGGTGTAGGCCCTGGTCATCTCTGACACCTTCTGGTGCCTGGAACAAGCTGTCCTGTGCCCCAGCCCCCAGTTCCATCTGCTCTGGCATAGAGCTTTAATCTCTCAGCCTTCCAGCCAGTGAGACTGAGTAGCAGTCCCCTGCTCCCGCCCAGGTCACCACTGGCCTGGAACCAACTGGAAGCCATCGATGGTCTCCCAAGCACATTGCCATGTCTCTTTGCAGCCTGAGGCTGGACTAATGACCTCTTTTATTTCTATACTCAGTCTTTCTGTCACCCATCTGAAGTCTTTGTCTCTGGCCATTGTACCCAAAAGGGTAGGTTGAAGAGTAGAAGACAGGTATCTTCATGAAATGGCCTCACTGTCATGCTTAGAAGCATTCACAGAATTGCTGATTGTGGCCAGTTTTAAGGCAGACAAGCCTGTGATGGGAGGGAAGTCTTCAAATACAGATTTCCAGCCATTATGGGCATGGGGAGCCATTGACCTAGGTCTGAGGTTTGCTTCTAGCACACAGTGTTTCTAAGAGTGTTCTGCCTTTGAGCCGTCTGAGCTCCCTGTCCTGTGACTATCACAACAAACAGAGGCTATCAGAGAGCGAGTGCTGGGCTAACTACCACCTGTCTTTGCAGTCCTACGGAACATCTTCGTCCTCACCTGCATCATCATCGTCTGCTCTCTCCTCTTCCCTGTCCTGTGGCACCTATGGATTTACGCAGGAAGTGCCAACTCTAATTTCTTTTATGCCATCACACTGACCTTCAATGTTGGGCAGGTAAGAGTTAAGAGTAGCACAGGATGGGTGTCATTTTGAGTCTCAGGCTATCAGCTGAGGCCTTGGGTTCCCACCTTGTAGTTTTGAACCTCAGGGGGTAGGGGGGAAACAGTTTCTCTGTCTTTGAGCTCACTCTGGTGGAAGGGACAGGGGAGTGAAGCCCATGAAATTGAATCTGTAGCACATGTATCAGGCACCGTGCTGAGCGCTGCTTCAGTAAGTCCTTACAACAAATCTAGAGAAAGATCGTGTTATCCATAGTTTACAGCTGAGGGACTGAGGCTCTCATTCATGGTCAGTGGAGCTAAGAAACAAATTCAGGTAAGCCCAGCCTCAGAGGCACCCCTCTTTTATAATTGTGTCCTGTTAGCACTGACATTACAACAGGTGAGGAATGGTGAATAGGTCGAGGTGAAGACAGTTTTGTGGATTTTGAGGATGGTAGAACCAAAGGCAAGGAGTTTAGGAATGGCATGGGTTGGCTGTTTGGTGCACAATAAAAGAACAGTGTCTTGTTTGTTTGTTTGGTTGGTTGGTTGGTTGGTTTTTTTGTTTTGTTTTGTTTTGTTTTGTTTTGTTTGTTTTTGTTTTTCGAGGCAGGGTTTCTCTGTGTAGTCCTGGCTGTCCTGGAACTCACTCTGTAGACCAGGCTGGCCTCGAACTCAGAAATCCGCCTGCCTCTGCCTCCCAAGTGCTGGGATTAAAGGCGTGCGCCACCACCGCCCGGCTAAGAACAGTGTCTTATATGGTTCAGCCTGCTTCCAAGTAACTATGTAGCCAAGGATGACCTTCATCTTCTGATCCTCCTGCCTCCACCTCCTGAGTTTTCACCATGCCTTATTTATGCAGAGCTGGGGATCGAACCAAGGGCTTCCTGGATGCTTGGTAAGCATCCTAACAACTGAGCTATATCCCTGCCCTATTGTTTTATGGATGCTTTTTTTTTTTTAAAGTGATCACATGTTTCTTTTCTTTTTTAATTTATTTTTATGTATGTGTGTACACTGTCTTCAGACACACCAGATGAGGGCATTAGATCCTGTTATAAGTGGTTGTGAGCCACCATGTGGTTGCTGGGAATTGAACTCAGAACCTCTGGAAGAGCAGTCAGTGTTCTTAACCCCCAAGCCAACTCTCCAGCCCTAAAAGGATTCTTAAGTTTGACTTTTAAAGATCTTGGTTCAATATGGAAAACAAAATCAGAGACTTGTACTTTTAGTTAGCATTTCTAGAGGTCTGGAAAGGCCTCTGTGGAGTCATCCATCCTTCCTGAAGTTCTCTCCCTCAATCTGTCATATTCTTTGATGTCAGGCTCTGTCCTCCTTGTTGAGGTCTTCAAAGAATAGTTGTCACTTTACCGCCATTGGCATAGCCAGGCATGTCCCTGCACAGTAGATGGGACAGAGGCAGAACTGTGTGTAGACTTGTGAGCAGAGAACAGACCCAGGAAGGCTTTTGTCTCCAGGATTAGCAGTTTGTGGGAGGGGTCATGAGGAGGAGCTTAAGCTTTTACTAGCGTGTTGGTGGGACTGGTGTTTCCTGTGTAGATATTGCTGAAGGATTTTCATCCTATTTGACCGTACGTAGTGTGTGAACAGCAAAAGAGAGGTCTTGGCCCTGGTGGTAGTTTCTGATGGTGAGTCTCTACTTGTGTCCTACCAGGGCAGAAATCTGCAGGATTCAGTGCAGTATCTAAAATAACCCAAAGGCTATTTGTGGGTGGCACTTGTGCTTACCAGAACCCCCTCCTTTGCACACATCCCAGCATTTGCCTGTGATGATCTTGAACCTGCTTCAGCCTCTGGGGAGGTTGGTGAGTTCCACAGAATAGTCCTCAGCCTGTTGTCTTGGCTCTCTAGTTTTGCTCAAGAAATGAAATTGGCAGTATTTTTTGAGGGAGTCATGTGACTCACCAGATGACAGCTTTCTCTTCTGTGACTGCCTCAATGAGGGGAAGGTCCCTTGGCAATGGGGCTGATTGTAACTCATTAGGTGCCATCAAAAGCAAGAGAAGCTTCATTAGTGGGAAAGAGGGGTTGGGGTTGCGCTAGAGACCAAAGGTAGTAGGCCCAAGTATATTTGCAGCTGAACTATAGCGAACAGTCAAAGTCTTGGCATCACTTCCCTTTAAAGGTTAAGAAAAAACTCTTATTATTACTGTGTGTATGCTTGCTTTAGGAGGTCAAACGAGAACATCGGATTTTTTAGAGCTGGAGTTATAGGAGTTTTGAGCCACCCTGTGTTCCTCCTGGGACCCACACTTTGGTCCTTTGCAAGAGCAGAAAGCACTCTTAAGCACTGAGCCATTTTCCAGCCCCCCAACCTTATGTTTTGAGAAAGGCCTCTTGCCAGAACTCGGAGCTTACCAAGTAAGTTAGGCTCGTCAGCCAGTAAGTTCCATGGATCGTCTTGTCCACCTCTTCTGCTCTAGAATTACAAGAATATGCCACCAGGTGTGGCTTTTTATGTGGGTGCTGGAAATCTACCCCATGCTTTGATGCATGCACATAAAGTACTGTATTGATTAAGGAATCTCTTCAGTGCCGTCATTATTTTACCTTTATTCATTTGTTTATTTTCATTTTATGTGTTTGAGTGGTTTTGCCTTTTTGTATATATGTGTACCAGGTGTGTTCCTGGCGCCCATGGAGGTCAAAAGAGGGCATAAGCTTCCCTGCAGTTGGAGTTATAGATGTTGTAAGCACAAGAGTGCTGGATTGAACCTGAGTCCTCTGGAAGAGCAGTCAGTGCTTTTAACCGAGGAGCTTTTTTTGTTTGTTTGTTTTTGTTTTTCAAGACAGGGTTTCTCTGTATACCCTGGCTGTCCTGGAACTCACTCTGTAGACCAGGCTGGCCTCAACCTCATTTCTTACCTTTTAAAAATATTTTGAATGCATTTTAAATTACATAAGTGATAAATTTATTGTTTTTACAGGAAAAAGTAAACAAACAAACAAACAAACCAGGGAAATGGGAAATAAAGTCCCAAGGTTAGAACTGTAGCAGTGACATGCTTCTGTAGCCTGAGTGAAGCCCAAGGTTAAATCCTTAGTGTCTCTGGAGATTGGACCATGGGTGTGGTAGGCTGCACATGGCTTTAAGCACTGCACTTAGGAGCGAGATCCGGAATTCAGTGCCACCTTTTCCTATGAAACAAGTTCAAGGCTTTCCTGGATTACAAGTAACACCATCTCAAAACAAACAAACAAACAAACAAACAAACAAACAGAAGTCTCTGTTGTGATTTGGGAATGTACTCAGTGTACAGCATTTATCTAGAGATCTTTGCTTTTGTGTTGGGGAGGTGTGCACAGCACATGTGTGTTTGTGTGTGGGGAGGCCACAGTTGATGTTGAGTGTCTTCATCAGTCACCCTTCACCTTATTTTTTGAGACAGCATTTCTCCCTGAACCTGGCACTTGCCAATTCAGTTAGATGAGCTAGCCAGCAAGCTCTAGGGGTCCAAGCTCTGCTTCCCCAATACTATGATTGGTGTCTGTTACTACACATGGCTTTGTAGCCTAGTTACTGGGGACTGAACTCAGGTTCTCATGCTTGTGCTTTACCAACTGAGCTATCTCCCAGCCTTCCTGTTGCCCTTTTTGGAGCCAGTCTCTCTCCTTCTTTTTTTTTTTTTTTTTTTTGTTTTTCGAGACAGGATTTCTCTGTGTAGCCCTGGCTGTCCTGGAACTCACTCTGTAGACCAGGCTGGCCTCGAACTCAGAAATCCGCCTGCCTCTGCCTCCCAAGTGCTGGGATTAAAGGCGTGCGCCACCACTGCCCAGCATCTCTCTCCTTTTTAGGCTGACCTGAACTACTGTGTAGCCTGTGCTAGCTCTAACTCTTGGAGATCCTCCTGTCTTAGTCTCCCAAGTGCTGGAATTACAGGTGTATACCATCACACGTATTTTTATTTAGCATTCTTAAGACTCTGAGTTTGAGATCTAGCACTACGAAGGGGGAGGAGGTAGGGAAGAAAGGTAGAAAAGCAAAGAAAAAAAGATAGTTCTCTGTGAGCTTGAAACCAGCCTGGTCTAATTGAGAAACAAACAAAACAAAACAAAACAGAATGAGAGAGATGGCTCAGCAGTTAACAGCACTAGCTGTTTTTGAAAAAGACTGGGGTTCAGTTCCCAGCACCCACGTGGAGGCTCACTGCTCTGGGGGATCTGATGTCCTTCTCTGGCTTATGCAGACAGTAGCATGCACGGGGTACATAGATATACATGCAGGCAAAATAACTTTATACATAAAACAATAATTTAAAAAGTGAAACAGGGTTTCATGTAGCCAAGACTGGCCTTAAACTTGCTACGTAGCTGAAGATGACCTTGAACTTGTTTTTAATATGCCTCCTGAATATTGAGATTGCAGGGATATGCTGCCATGCCTAGTTTTATGTCATACTGAAGACTGAACACAGGTTTCATGCATGCTAAACAAGCACTCTACCAATTGCTACATCCTCAGCCTCTTGAGATGAATGCTTCTAGTTCCACCATGTTCCTTGGGTAGGAGACACTGATTTATTTGACCAGGTGACCATTTGCTGTTGGGATTTGAAGTTGCTTCTGGTTATTTTGCTACTTCAAATGGAAGAGGCTTTTGTATTCTCCCACATAGCTCATATGTGTACAGCAATGCTTTTAAGGTAGATTTTAAGTGGTAGCATTTGCCGAATCAGAAGGCATGTGAATGTTCTATTTTTGGAAGATATTAGCAAGTTGCTCTTCAGATTGTGCCTGCCAGCAGAGGTTCAGATAACCCCTTAAGCTGGTAGACTGTTAGGCAACCTCCATACCTGCTGGCCTTTGTAGGTCTGAGCCCTGACCATAGAGAGCTCCTTGGGTTAAATGTTTCTGGAGGCTGTTGACCTTGAGTTTTGCTGCTGCTATTGCTGCTGCTGCTGTCACTGCGACCACCAGATCAGTAAAAGGCTGTGTCAGGAAGGTGCATTGGTTTACTAGGCTGTCACTCTAAACATAATCATTTATTGTCCT